ATATGAATGACATTCCTTTAGTTTGAATGACAGGCTCCGTCTGTGATGATGAAGAATTTTCTGTGGTACCTTTGGTTCCTTTTTTAATGTGATATTTTTATTAATTCTTTGAGAATTCCATGCAATGTATTTTGATCATATTCACACCTCACTCCTCCACCTAACACCTCCCAGATCTGTCCCCACCTTCTCCCCCACCAACTTCATGTCCTTTTTGTTATAACCCATTGAATCCAAGTTTGTTATTTTTTAAACTTTGAAAGAATCAGAGAACAGCCTTGTCATTAAAGATCATTAAACATAAATATTTATAGTTGAATATTTAAAATTGTTCTTTTAGTAGGTTAGAGATTTCCCTTGATATTTCTACCTATTCTTCTGTTTAGATGCTGAACAAGGAAACACTTAAAAATGGAACCTCTGGAATTTATCAAAATGTACTTCTCTAGAAATGAAGAACCAAGACTTCTCTAGAAATACAAGAGAAAAAAAAGAAGGGAATCATAAATACAGAAGATTTGTGTGCTGAATAAAGTTATAACATTTGCAACTCTGTTTTCTTTTGAATTTTTATCATCATGGTTCCTTTCTAAAATAAGCTTTTTATTCTCCTTAGCACCTTTAAAAATATTGTTTATTATCTTTATTTTATGTGTGTGAGTGTATTGCCTGCATGTGCATCAGTGCATCTGTTTCATGCAATGCCTGTGGAGGACAGAAGAGGCTGTCGGATCTCCTGGAACTGGAGTTATGGACAGTTGTTAGCTGCCATGTGGGTGCTGGGCTTCGAACCTAGGTCTTCTGCAAGAACACAGTGTTCTTAACCGCTGAGCCATCTCTCCAGCCCCAAGATAGCATTCTTTAAATAGCAAAATTATAGAGATGGAAAATAAATAGTTATCATAGTTATCATATTGATGACAGAACCAAAGAGTGATAAATATGACTATATAGTTGTACTAGTGAAATCTTTGTGGTGATCAAATCCTACCTGTGTGCAAGCAAAAGTCTTGATCCTAATCCTTGCCCTCCACCCCCTGCCTTGTACTGAGAATGGAACCCAGGGCCCCTCATCACGTATGTCTTTCATTTGCTTTATTGCACTGTCTAGAATTTAACCACAAATTATCAGATATTAGTGACCAGAGCAGGCAACCTCGTCTCAGAGAAACAGTATTAATGTCATTTCCTTTTTGAGTTCTTTCCCTACCTGTGGATTATTCAGAAGTGTGGATATCTTACAAGTATGAAGAAAATTTATTTTCCAGTCATTGAAAATGTCCCAGGGAACTTTCTGTTAATGGTTTCTAATTTAATTTCATTTTGGTCAATAAGATACTTTGTATGGCTTAGATCCTTATATTGGGACTTGTTTCATGGTCCAGAATGAAACAAAAATGAAATACTGCCTCTTTTGGCAGTGTTCCAGGTCTGCTTGAAAAGAATAAGTGTTCTGCCAGTGTTGACTAGAGTTTTCTATAAGTGGCAGTTCAGAATTTTTATTTATCTTTTAATACTGAGGGTGAAAATTGAAACGGATTTATTCTCTCTTCCTCAAATTCTTAGCATGGAAATCCAGTCAGGTCTTGTGATTGGAATGACAACTTTGGACTGGAAGACACTGTTTGTTTTTTGTGTTTTTTTTTCATGCAATAATCAACCACGGAGATTGCCTGACTGGTTACTTAATAATTAAAGTTGCTTATAATCCCTTGAATATACACAAAACTAATTATCCCTTGCCTGTCTGACATGCCTTTGAATAGTCAGTCTCCCCAGTGGCTATGAAGAGAGTCAAAATCCTACACAAAAAGTACGAAAGTTAGTAAGCACATATATGGGTCAATTTCAAAGGGATGTAACTTACTTAAGAGAAATAATATTAAGTAAATGTAAGCAGAAACTATAGGCCACAAAATTATAATCCTTCAAAAACTTGGGTATTCCTATATTGAGAGTGTCTTGAGGATCTGAACGTGGGAATTGCATGACAGTTTTATATATATATATATATATATATATATATATATGCAAGCTGATGGTTGCAGAAATTAAGGTGTAAAAGCAACAAGTCACTGACAATGATTATCAGCAGAGGGTAATTTACTCCATAAAGGACTTGGGCAGTGTCTGGAGACAGTTTTGTTTGCACCACTAGGAGAAGAGGGTGTGTGGGTAGAGGCCAAGAATGATGCCAAGTACTGTACAGTGGCTAACCCTCAGAGAATGGGATGTAGCTCAGTGCTAGAGCATGGAGTTAACATATGTGAGGCCCTAGATTTGATCCCCAGCACTACAAGTAAGCAAATGAATGAGTAAATCTCACAAAATAAAGCACATTTCTTTTCTTCCTTTTGTGTGTGTATTTGTGTGTGTGTCTCTGTGTGTGTGTCTATGTATGTGTGTATATGTCTTACGTGTCTCTGTGTGTCTGTGTGTATATGTCTGTCTGTGTCTCTGTGTGTCTGTGTATATATGTATGTGTGTGTATGTCTGTACGTGTCTCTGTGTGTCTGCGTGTATATGTCTGTGTGTGTCTCTGTATCTATGTCTGTGTGTGTTTATGTATGTGTCTGTGTATGCATCTGTGTATATGAGTATGTGTGTGTCTGTGTGTCTCTCTGTGTATGTGTGTGTCTCTGTGTCTCTGTGTGTATATGTCTATGTCTCTATGTGCCTCTGTGTGTGTCTATGTGAATGGATCTATGTGTCTGTGTGTATGAGTATGTGGGTGTGTCTGTGTGTCTCTATGTGTATGTATGTTTGTGTGTCTCTGTGTGTCTGTGTTTGTGTGTCTGTGTCTCTATGTATCTATGTGTATGTGTCTGTGTGTATAAGTATGTGGGTGTGTCTGTGGGTCTCTGTGTGTGAATGTCTGTGTGTGTGTCTGTATGTGTGACTGTGTCTCTGTGTATATGTCTGTGTGTAGTATATGTGTATCTCTATGTGTAGGTATGTGTTAGTGTATGTGTGCATTTCTTTGTGTGTGTGTGTGTGTGTGTGTGTGCATGCAGGCATGTGCGCTGAGGATAGAACTGAGGGCTTCGTGCATGCTAAGCATATGTTCAACCATCGAGCCGTACCCCTAGCAAATGTTTCTAAATTCTTATAAGATTGAGTCAGTGATCAAAAATCTCCCAGGCTCAGAACTAGATAGCTTCACAGTGATATCAATCACACATTTAAAGAATAATTAAAACCAGGGGCTGGAGAGATGGCTCAGCGGTTAAGAGCACTGGCTGCTTTTCCTGAGGACCTGGGTTTGGTTCCCAGCACCCACATGGTGGCTAACAACTGTAATTCCAGTTCCAGAGGATCTGATGCCCTTTTCAGGCTTCTGCATTATACACATGTGGTGCATTTACATACATGCAAAACACTCATGCAGATAAAATAGAAATAAATCTAAAGTCTCACTTTGACTTTCATAACCACCAAGTCCTGTGTCCTCCATCCTATACTGTGGCTGATGGCAATGCGATGGACTACTCTGCTATTCCAGAACTGTTTTTATGGAATTAATGTGAATTTTCTTGCTTAAAAGTACCTGATTTAAAAATAGGAAAAAGAAAATGCTTGCAATATTTATGCAAAAATGTCAAGAAAACAAAAACAAAATTATGTTTTATGTATTTATTGCCTGTAGTGTTCTGTAAATGTCAACTAGGTATTATTTGTTCACATTTTAAATAAAATAAGAGACGGGGCTGGAGAGATGGTTCCATAGTTAAGAGCACTGACTGCTCTTGCAAGGAACCTGGTTAGATTCCCAGAACCCACATGGCAGCTGATAACCATCCCTAACTACAGTTTGAAGGGATCCAATGCCCTCTTCTGACCTCCACAGGTATTGCATGGCATGGATACACTTACACACATACAGGCAATACACTCATATACATAAAATAAAAATAATAAATAAAATATTTAATAAACAAAAAGTAGAATTCTTTATTTTTACAATATGTGACGTTCTCTTGTTATTCATTCATACCAGAAATCCAAGTTTATACCTGGAATGATATCTTTCAACCAGAGAAGTTCTTCTAGTGTCTTCTTTGTACTTGGATTCTGTCTGCAATTCGTTGTTTTAGTTTAATTTTATCTAAAGAGATCCCCCCCCGAAAAAATTTATGGATGTGGAAATTGATGTAATGGATTATTATTTTCTTGTAGCATCCATGAAAATGTCATTTCCCCATCTTCTGTCCTGTGCTGCTTTGGATGTTGAAGTAGAAACACATGGACCAGTCTCATTTAAGCGCTCTCCACTGTGTGATGTATCATTTTTCCTTAGCTGTTCCCAAGATTTTATGTTTCCTTGCTTTATTTTGTCACTTGACTAGATATTATTTTATTTATTATATTCTGCTTGAAATTCACCCAATTTCTTAAATCTGTAAGTTCAAGTTTGTTACCAAAATTTGGAAATTTGATCTGTATTTATCTCTATATAGTATTTCTTCACTGTTCTCTTTCTTCTTCGTAGACAACAATGGTCTTATATGAGGGACTAGATGGAGTCCCCCAGGTCTGTGAGAATTATGGTAGGAAAGCCCATGTCAAGAATTCTTCCTGTTTCCATCATTTGTCCACATTTACACAGGAAATTAAGCAACAGGATCAGGACTTAAAAGTCAACCCTAATATAACCCAATAAATTAAGTTAGGATAAATTAATGCATATTCATGTTAAATGGGCCTGAGATGAGAAAGCAAAAGCTGTCTGTAGTGGTGAACATTTAGTAGTAACTGTAAAAGAAATTACGGAGCTTTAAAGTTATTGCTTTCTAACCATAATGGTACTAATAGTTGTGGGCAGAAACATGAGTGTTAAACAGTGAGAGTTTGTTGAGGAGCAGGGTGGTTCCACAGTTTCAAAGTGTCTCCACACAAGCTCTTTTTTAAAAGATTTTATTTATTTTTATTTTGTGTATGAGTGTTTTACCTGCAGTGTGTAAATGCACGAGATGCATGTAGTGCCTGTGGAGACCAGAAGAGGGCATCAAATCCCCCTGGAACGGGTGTTACAGATGGGTATTAACCACCATGTGGGTGTTGGGAACTGAACCCAGGTCCTCTAAAAAAACAGTAAGTGTTCTTAGCCATTGAGCTGTCTTTTCAGCCCCTCCATACAACTTCTTTCTAAATTTTTAGACTGTCATGGAAACCAGTGGCAAGATAATGAACACAACTGGCCAATGGAGTTTTAAGCTGTCAAAGTTGGCAGCACCCACCAAGGTCCAGAAGATATCACAGGTTTCTGAAATGATGCTCTGAGAAGGAAAAGCATCACTTCTGTCATCTTCCTACCCAAAACTATGATACAAATCTCATCACCAGGTGAAGGACTTCCATAAAATAAACTTGTATTCTATTAATACCATAATCATGACAAAGTCTGTCAGAAGAATTGTCCTAATACATGGAAACTAAGGTTGCATGAGGATGTGTGTTTGTGAATCATATCTCACAATGGAAAAAAATATGAGATTCATTGTAAAAGAATATTTTCCCAGTTGGCTTAAAGCCCACTCAATGGGACAAAACTCACA